GCCGCTGCCGGGAGCAGGGCGGGCGCCGCGGCGGGGGCCGCGCGGGGCGGGACCGGCACCGGGACTGGCTCCAGCGCGATGCCGTGAGGCTCCCCGGACGGGCACGGTCCAGAGGAGCTCAGCATCCCCCGGAGGGGATGGGAGCCTTCCTAGTCAGGGAGGGTGACATGGTTTGTGTTCTCGGTCTCCTGACCAACACTTTAAGTGGAAGATTTGGGTGAGAAATGCATCTTTTGGTATTTTTTCCTTTTCAGGGTGGCACAACCCCCTCAAATCCCGCCTCCTCCTGCGCCAAAAGATAAAATTCCTCCCGCGATGGTTCTGGGGAACCTGTCCTGTTTCCCTGCGAATTGCACCGGCTATTTCTATGTGGTCCCCAGGGCAGAGGTGTGTCTGTAACCCGGGTCGTCCCACTCATGAGGTTCGTTGAAGCTTTTCTACTCGGTGCGAGCGGAGAGGAGAGGAGAGGAGAGGAGCGGAGAGGAGAGGAGAAGAGAGGGAAAAAAGAGGAAAAGAAAAGAAGCAGTATGGCAAGTCAAGGTTTCTTTATATTACCCCAGGGTAGGTAAGACTTTGTTGATTTCCCTTTTGAACCCCTGAATTTGTGTGTCACACTCCAGGCCCACTGCTCAAAGCAGTTGAGATGAGGGGGGTGCAGGGTCGGGCTGGACCCGCGGGGGTCCCGAAGCCTTCGGGTTTCATTCAGACCCAGCACCCGGCAGGCCCGGCCTGGGCTAGCTCCGCCTAAACCCACCCTTTAATAAGTGCATGAACTTATTAACACCTTCAGCAACGTTGCTAATATTATTATTAATAGCAACCGGCGTTAGTTCAGACGGTATCCGGCTGGGCTTGAGGACTAGAGGCCGAACCGCAGCCGCTCGGAAGTTCGTTTCTCCGAACTCTGTATTTTCCCCTTCGCTGAGTTTGTTCCAACCCGATGAAGACATCTTACTAAAATAAACCTTTTCGTGAGAGCAGTTTCTGCCTTTTAGCGGCATAAAGCGGCTCCACGAAACTCGGGGCTACGGCAGCCGGGGAGGGGAGCGAGGGGAGATCTCGCCCTTCCCTAAGAGGTGATTTGATTGCAGAGGGAAAAAAAACAAAAGCAAACAAACCCGGCGAAGCTGGGATAGAGGCGGGAGGTGCCAGGATGGCGAGCAGGAGAAGGTCCCCTCTCCCAGCTCCTCCCTCCCATGGCGGTGGAGTATGAGGAGCTCCGGGCGTTGAGGACTGCGATGCGGTTAAGCGCTGGAAAAGGGATGCTGCAACGCAGCTGGGAAAACGCTCAGGGGAGGGATATTCCCGAAAGCCGGCGGCTCAGGAGGATTCCTCAGGAGAAGTCAACTCTTCCCATCTCACACATCGCAGGCTCGCCTCCTGCCTCCCCGCCTCGCTTCCTTGGCAGCACATTTTCCGCCTGGAGCCTTCCCAGGGCTCTAACGGGTCGGCCCAACGTCTTCAGGGCTTCGAGTAGCTCTTTAGCAAACACATCCCCAGACTAGATCAGCACAAGATAAATATTACTTTAGCATCCCTACAACACGTGCGAGCGTGTCTCATTTGCATGTTTCTAGGTTAATAATCGTGAGGCAATTGCAGTGTTTTGACAACGATCAAGAGCTGAATACGCTTAATATGCTTAATATATGCCCTCCAGTTGCACGGAACAGAAGGGCAGGGTTGCAAATACGCATTCCCCATTTGTTTGACATTTTGAAGAAGGTAAAGAATGGCTGAACTAATGGCGAAATCTTACAGTCATTCAATAATTTAGATTTTATTGAATATTCCCCTTCTTTCCTCCGACATTTCAGTCTTGCTAATTAGGACAAATAAGAAGGGGCCTGCTGTTAGCAAGGATAATAACTGGCGAGGTTCCATTTATTAAGTCACTTTCCGTGGGTGTAGAATTGATCTGTGGCTGTGACTGGCATGCTTTCGAGACCCGCAGCAACTTTGGGAAGTCATTATGATCTGCAGAAGGGCCCTTGTTAGAGATTGGTATTGATAAGGTGTCAGGGTTTGCGTCGGGGGGTTCGGGGAACCCCCGCCCCCGCTCCGCCACGGCTCCGTGTGCCGGGGGCGGCCGCCCGCTGCCAGCCCCCTGCAAGGGGGGACCCTGCAGAGGTCGGGGTCCCTCTTGTCCCCTCCCCTCCGCCTCTCCCTTCCCCTCCTCCCTTCCCCACGGAAAGGGCGTGTGTGCTTCTGGAAATCCGCCGCGAGGACCATTTGCAGGGAGACGAATCTATGCGCACCTATTTTTAAGTGGAATAAGAAGCTCCCTTGCCCCGGGAGGCA